GTAGACCTGCCCGGCATAAATCCAAATTGATTTTGAGAAATTTTTGTAATACGTCTTAACCTATGTTCAATTACCCTCTCCCATAATTTTAAAGTATGACACGTCAACTTAATTCCTCTATAATTTGCACACTCTTGTGCATCCCCTTTATTCTTAAAAATGGGGACCAAAATATTTTTCCTCCACTCCTCATGCATCTTTTTAGTTTTTAAAATAATATTAAAGAGTTTAGTCAGCCAATAAACTCTCAAGTCTCCTAAATATTTCCATATTTCAATTTGGATATCATCAGGTATAGGCTTTCCACCCTTGGTTTTCTTTAAAACCTCATCAACTTCTTTTTTACTAATGCGACAGTAAAAATGAAGAGTTTTATTATTATTAACGATATTAAGATCATTAAGGTCGATCATATTTTCAAAAACTTAATTAAAAGGTTTATCAAAATAGCTCACCCACCTATGTTGAATATCTTTTTTTAAGAAAAACACTTTTTGATTTTCATCTTTAATATACTTTACTTGAGTTAAATCTTTACTTTTCTTTTCTCTTTGTTTGACTAGTTTACACACATATTTTTCATCCTCCTTAGTATCTAATTTATTATAAAGATCTTTAAAAGCTAAATTTTTAGCGTCATATATTGTTCTTTTTAGACTTCCTGCGGGTCGTTAGATATTTTTCTCAGTTCTCTAAGCTTTTACAATTAAACAAATTTTTATAACACAACTTCTTATGTTTTATATTTTCTTGCACATTATTATTCCACCACCAACTATTTTTTTTTCAAAGAAACTTTTTTTTAATGCTCCAATTATATCTTTTGCTACTTGTTTAATAGTGTTTGTTACTTTATCCCACTTAACATTTGCATCCTTATGAACATCCCAAATTTTAAAATCTTGAATTTAACTCATAAAAATAATTTTATTTATGTCTCTTAGGTTCCTCTATCTAATTTTACGATGATGAGTCATAGTATTCTTTATTTACAACTCTTCATCTTAAAATCTAGAACTGATAAACGATGTTGGGTACTTAAATCCTCACTTGGAATGACCTTACAATCTTTATAATATTGACGATCTCTTCTTCTCATAAGAAAATAATCAGTTTGTGTTTTATTAGATCCATTCTTATAACTAATAAGATGTCCATATCTTTTTTTAATAAAATATTAGTAATAACAAAATCATACGCTAAAACAAAATCTAAAATAGCTCTACATTCTTCATTAGTTACTCTAAAACCATAGTCACCATGAATATTTCTAAAATCTTCTACACTCTACCGACATGTCCATTTAAATCTTCTTCAATAGATATCATTTGTATTAAGTCTTATAAGTCATTTCATACGCTAAAGCAAAATCTAAAATAGCTCAACTTTTTTCATTAGTCACTCCAAAACCATAGCCACCATTAATATTTCTAAAATCTTCTACCACTCTACCGACATGTCCATTTAAATCTCCTCCACTAAAAATTCTTTCTTCAAGAGGTATTATTTATATTAAGTCTTCTAAGTTATCCCAGAATTTATTTTTAGACCTATATCTAAACCTACTTGAAGAGCATAAGCATTTATAATATTAAAAATCTTACTATCAATGATAATCTTAAGAGCTATAATTCTATCTCCAACTCTATTAATTTTTACAACATTACCTTCAAACTCTTATCTATAATTACACCTACACCATTTTTAATGTGGCTCTTACCAGAATACCAAAGTTTAAGACCTAAGTTATCAATCTCGTTATTTTTTTCTCCAGCCCATTTAGTTTCTTGAATACATAAGATATTAATCTTTCTATGAATCATAATATCAACTAATTCCTTTAATTTACCATTAAGAGAACTTATATTCCAAGATCTTATTCTGATATTAATTTCATTAGTTTTATGGATTAACTTTTTAACCCGCATCCATTCGTAATGTGAGAACCCTTGCTTATTTGATACTACACCCGGACGTCGGTGTAGTGTCAAATATCATTCTAAAATAGTAAAGTGTAAAAATAGTCCCGATCTATTTACATCTAATATTTTTAGTCCCATAGTTTAAAGCAATGCTAAAATAATTCCGAGACTATTTAAATTAGGGCTGAAATAGTCTTCATGAAGAACCATTCAAGCTCAATTTTAAAATATTCAAAGATTATTTTTGCACTTTTATAAACTCCTGCACTAAAACAACTCGATTTAACAAGTTCAGGACTATTTTGGCACTTCAATCAATTCTAAAATGATAATAATCTAAAAATATATGATGAAGTTTTGTTATCGTAGGATAATTATTATCCCATGTAATTTTATTTTTGCATGTGCAACTTGTTATGTTTTTCAAATTCAAGATCATGATGTTGATTATAATCTACATTATGAGAATTGCATGCTGATTGAACTTCCTGTTTTCGTTTGTTTTTCTCTCTTTTATTTTTAAAGGAGTCGTCAGCTTGTCGATTGTCGTATACTTCCCCTATCCGAATAAATCTCCCTCCCGAACCATATCAATGATTCAAAGAGGAGATGAATCGAATAAAAAAGGACATACGACAAACAATCGGGGAGAGCCTACGTGCGGTAAACCTCGCAATGATAGGTTAAGAGTGTCCTCCCAAACAAGATCGGGCGAAAACACCTTAAACCGATATCCGCGAAAGAATACATACGTAGACTACCCATAACCAGAGATTCAGGTGTAGGTGTCTGTTCTGGGGTCAAGAGCACTCCCAAGGGGACGTATCCCACTTGGTTAATTACATCTTGGTGGGGGGGTACCCAAGAATACTCTCGATAAAAGGAGTTTCACTTACCTGAAAAATGACAACTAGCACGGGGTCGTCAAGGGAGGTTATCCCGCAGTGGGAATGTCCTGATGCTTCTAAGCTCTCGCTAAACCACGGGGCGAGAAGTGAGTCTCTCGTGGTTCCCATATGGATAACATACTCATCAGCATACAGAACCTACGAAATAACTGTGTCATCCCAACGAGAAGTCCCGATACGTCAAAACACATCCAAACCGTGAGGGCAGAGGACAAATCGTCGTATCCCAAACGGGCGACAGCTCATCGGTCATCGGACCGCTGGGATGATTCCAACGAAGGCAAAAGAAAAGACAAGGCTCAACTGAGGTGGTCAAAAAATTGGCAAGGATAGTCCTAAGAGGTAGAGGTAACTGGGTCGGGGTACCACAACCCGTCATTCACAGCTACTAGGACCCTAAGTCTACCTGGTCGTGAAGGTAGTCGACCCAACACGACCTGGGATCCCCGGTCAGCAATCCGTGAATTGCGTCGTCCACGGGAACTCCGGTAGCCCTAAGGTCAAAGGAACAAAACTCTATCCTA